CGATGGCAGATTTGTCGCCTCAAATGTTGGCCCTCTTGAGCCACAAACACCCCTCGTGCGTGAGGATGTGAGAGCTGGAGAGTGGCCCTCTGGGGCTCCCACGGTCCCTGCACCCTCCAGTGCAGGTCCCAGTCACCCGAGGAGCGGGTCCCCATCCAGGCCCAGGTGACCCCCACAAGCCCAGCAGCCTCCCCCTCCGGGACCCACTGGGACCCCCACCCAGAGGTGCCGGGACAAGTGACCAGGGAGGGGACTCCTCACTCTGTCTCCCAACACCAATCCCAGTGTCCAGGGGCTCAGTGACCCCCAGTGTCTCCAAATATTGCCCTCAGGGTGGACCCTCACCGCAGGCACAGCCCACTCAGCCTGGTGGCCAAGGGCCAGGGGTCATCCTACTGTGGTGAACTTGGCCTGGTGGGGGACGGTGTCAGGGCGGAGCCTGGGGCTGGGTCAGGGGGAGTCTGGGGACAGTGACACAGCTGAGCCTGGGGCCAGCCTCAGTGCAGGCGTCCCTCTGGCCCACTCCCGGTCACCACTCCAGCACCCCAGCCTAAGCTGGACATCGGCTCCCTGCTCACACCGAGCTCTGCTGCCCCCACGTGGCCATCAGCAGCATCACATGCCCTCGGCCACAGAGGCTCCTCCCAGACCTGGGGGTCCTGGACACCATGGGCAGAGGGCAGGGGGCAGAAAGTGCGAGGCAAGGGACAGGGACGATGGGGCAGAGGGCAAGGGGCAGGGAGAAGAGAGCAGGAGCAGAGGGCATGGCCAGCTCCACTGGTCAGTGGTGTCGGGATTCAGCCTGGGACCCAGAGTGGCCACAGTCCGTGTCTGCTTTCTGGGTCCCGTCCTTTCCCACAAATGGCCTCTCTCGCCCTCAGAACTACCGTAAGGAAGGGTCACACTGGGTGCCAGGAGGTGCTGCCCTGTGGGGAGCCAGGCCCCGTGCCTGAGCACCTGCCTTGTCTAATTTGTCCTCTGCAGCTGTGTCCACTGTCCTGTTGGCTCCAGGCCCTGCCAGGCCCTTCCCGTGAGGCCTGGAGTCGGGTGCCCCGACTCTCTATGGGTGGGAAGCTGCACGGATCACCGCAGTTTGGGGGACGCTCCCTGAGCCCTGTACCCATGGAGGGACATCTCGGGCCCAACTCGGCAGACCTGTCCCCAGTTCAGCTGCAGCAGTCTCCAGGCAGGCAGTCATTCCAGGTGTCCCCGAGGAGGACATCTGGCAATATCAGCTGTGGGGCCACGGCCCCTCCAGGCCAGTCCCATCCCCTCAGGGACCACAGAGTGGAGCTTGGGCTCCCCCAGGTGGCCACCCTGCACCCTCACGTGTGCTCCAAACCAGGAGGGTTTCCCAGACCCTGGCAGAGGTCACGGGGCTGCCACCATCACCTCCAGTCGCCCGGAGCCCACATCCACCCACCACCCACACCCTACAAAGCCACCTACAGGAACCAGGGGAAAATGTGACATTTTGACACATGTGACACAGGTGTGTCACAAACAAGGAAAGTGATGGCCAAGGAAGTCCTGAGGAGCAAGAGGGAGAGACCCAAACTCACAGACACTGCAGACAAGCGTGGCCTGGACCAGACCCGGTGACAGTGTCCTGGGTGGGCCTCCAAGAGACAGAGGTGAGCCCGGACACAGGGGCCATCCCACGACAGGGCTCAGGTCCTGGAGGGAGAGCACAGGGTCCCTGTGACTCACCTCTCTGTACATCCAGCTGGGACCCGGGGGACTGCTGAGCTCCCACGGCCAGAGCTGGAGCCGCTGAGCCTGAAATTCAGTCGTGCTGGATAAAAACCCAAATATGAAGTAAGTATTCTTGAGTCCACACTCAGATACAGTGAGATATAGTAAAAAAAATGAATAAAAAAGTAAATGGGGAGGAGAGACATATATCCCTGCAAAAGATTTCAAAATAGTCGTGCAGATGCTCTGCCCTCGAGGAGATGAGGCGCAGCCCCCACCCCTTAGTGGGGCTGGCAGAGTGACTTCCTTTCCAAAGCAGACAGTGTGGAAAAGGGCTGGAGGGTCCCTCTCCAGTGGAGAAGCCTGACACTACATCCCAGCCAGGTGGTCAACATGCACAATGACAAGTCAGGTGAACAACACATGCCCACACTATCCATGGGCCTAGCCCAGTGCAAGCATGAGGAAAACATCAGACGCATGCCATCGAGGGGCAGTCAACAAACACCCGCCCAGTTTCCCCAAAACCGTCAGGGTCTCAGAAGCTGTCACAGCCCAGAGGAGCCTAAGGGACAGCCAGATATTGTATGGCATCCTGGATGGGGTCCTGGGACTGGAGAAAAAATGGCATTGGCTAAAAAGTAAGGAAATCTGAATACAGTAGAGATGTTAGTTAACAATAAAGTGTCAATCTTGTTCATCAATTGTGAGAAACGCCTCATGGTGATGTAAGATGTTAGTGGCAGGGGAAACCGGGTGGGGAACTCTGTGCTATCTTCCGAATTGGTTTGTGAATCTAAAGCTTTTCTAAATAAAACATTTATTAAAATTTTTCAAGACCCTAAAATAACAACAACAGCACGGCGCCCCTCTCAGCCCGTGGCCCTGCTCTGACGGTCACGGGCTGTCTCTCATACGCTCCTAGTGCACGGTTTCATATCCTTGCATTTTTCAGCATCTCTGGGTTGTTTGTTTGGTTTTCATTATAAACTTGGCATTGATTTCCATTTCAATACAAGTGATGTGGATTAAGGCTGCCCCAGCTAGAGAAGCCCAAGGTGACCTGGCCTACATGCCGAACTATACGACCCAGTGGACTTTTTTTATGCTATGAATTAGGGCTGCCCCAGGGAGAGAAGCCCAGGGCATCCTCACCTACATGCCGATCTATATGACCAGATTCGTATCTAAAGTTATATGACCGCACAATAACCAGACCCCATCTGCACTGAAACCATTTAATGACTTTTTACATCATCTTTTCTTTTTCCAGTAAAAATAAGTCACGTACCCATGCCTTATAAAATTAGCCCTAACCCTCAACTCGGGGCAGCAGCAGGAGCTCTAACTGCCCAAGGGTCCTGTCCCCATGCTATTCCACACTACTGTCTAAATAAAAGAGCGCTACTGCCAGATCTTGAGAGTCGAAGAAATCTTTCTTTCAACTCCTCGGCTCACCGAGCCCGCGTCACAAGCATCTCTACTTTTCAATCAACTAGCTCAAGCCATTCACATTTATTGTCGCTACTAGTGTGGCACGTCTTAGTTCTACCATCACATTTTATTTTTTCATTTATGGTATTTTCTTTTTGTCTCTTTCTTCCCCATTTCCTTCTTTCCATTAAGTAGATTTCATTTTACTTTGCTGGTTTAAAAAGTTATACTTTGTAATTTTTTATGGCGATTGTTTTTAAGATTCACTTTAACATCCTCTCTTCGTGTACAGAATTTACTAATATTCACGTCCTCCCGACAGGACACACACTTGAGCACAAGCTTATGTGCCTTGGTCATTCCTCCCTCATCCCCCACTGTGCTGATATTTTCTAGACTTTCAGTTCCAGGTCATCGTAGACATATTTTATCTTTTTCACTTTAATGGTCTCACCTTTTTTCAGCAATAACTTTACCCTCCTTTACTTCTTTATCTCTTGCAACAGCTCCTGGAATTTTCCTTTCTTCTGTGAAAACTTCCTCCTGCAGTGTCCTCAGCGTGGGCCTCATCACAGCAGGATTCTGAAGCCTCTTTTCTCTAACAAGTTTCTTTTACATGCTTACATTTGAGTGAAAAATTTGCTGGATGTAAGATCGTAGGTGCAAAGTTCTTTTTCTTGGATACTTTAAAAATACCACTCCGCGGTCTCCATGCATCCAGTCATACTGAAAAGTCCGCTGTCAGATGATTCTCCGGTGACCTGCTCTTTTGCTGAGACTTTTCCAGTTTGCCCCTTTTTTCCTGACATTCTTACACTTCGCCATAACTGTGACTCGCATGGGCTTCCTCATATCTCCTTTTGAAATTCTATGGTTCTTGCATCTTTGATTTCTGAGAAATCATCTCATTTTTTCTTCTCTCCTCTCGTCCACTTCTCCCCGTTGGTCTGTGGCAGCCCCTGTCCTTCTGTTTCCCATACCACTTGGCTGCTTCTGGAAGGTTCCTCCCTTCATCTGCCTTCTCCTCGATTCTTCTTCAGCTGCATCTATCCGCCATGTCTTATTTGTCACGTTCCTTCAATTAGTACTTTTTCGTACCTAGTATTTCCACTTGGTCCTGCTTCATGTTTTCTGGGTCTTGTTCCGACCACTCACGCTGGCTCTTACCTCCTCAGGGACATCGCCACACTTACTGTCAGCCTCTGGCTCAGTTGTCCTAACGCTCTTGCCTCAGACCACACACGCCCCACCTGGGCTGTCCTTCCTGAAGGTGGGTGCGCTCCGGTGTGTTGTCACCTGGGCCCGTGAGCTCATCCGGTTCCTCCATCTTAGGATGTGGACCAAGTTAGTGTGCAGGCCGCACCCTGGAGCGGGTGGGTCCTGGGAGCTCAGGAGTGAGGAGCGCGCGTCAGTGAGGGGGGCCCGGCCATCCTCGGGCAGCTGGCTGCACTCCTTGTTGGTCACCACATTGTCAGGCCATTCTTCTGGCTTGGGCTTCACCTTCTAGCCTTGTGGTGGAGCAGCACCCCCAGACCCAGCAAGGAAAGGGGGCTCTGGGAAGAGTTTGACCACCTCTGGAGGACAATGGCCTCCAGTCCAGGGACACGGCGAGCTCGGGGTGACCATTCAGAGGGCCCCCCCATGCACGCCCTGGCCTCTCTCTTCCCTCCCCCTGCATCCCTGCAGGGCTCCCCACTGGCTGAGCAGTGAGGTGAGCCCAGGCAGGGGCCCCCAGGCTGAGGCAGAGAGAAGGCTGGAGGGGAGTGTGGAGGTGCAGACCCAAGGTGCCGGGGTCCAGCCTCGGCAGAGTCCAGGTTCCCGCGGAAGAGACGGCGTCGGCGAAAGTGTAAGTGCTAGACGTGAGACTCGAAGCAGTTGTAAGCAAGTCCAATTTATTTCGGGGACAGATTACACTTATATAGAAAAAATCGCACGAGGTGGTCTAACTATTGTCGTCATGGGAACAACAGATGAGGGGCAGTCGTGACTAAAGGTAATAATCAAAGGTGGTTATCTACATACCAGATGTGCAGCATACATATTGATTGTTTAGGAAGAGGTTACATAGTTTCAGGGTCTGCAAAGAAGTTAGGAGGGCAGCGAGCATACAATTAACGGACTATAGACCCCCACCTCCTTGGGGGCTGCTGTTTGTTCTTTGAGATATGTTTATTGCTAGTTCTGCCTGTTTTGACAAGGCTTCCAGGACAGAGGGAAGACGTTAATCAGTAATAGGCTTTAGAAAGGAGGACAAAGGACTCTGCTTAAAGAATTATGTTCCCTGGAGAAGTGCCTTGCACGATTCTCCTTCCATTGCCAGACCTTGTCACAATACAATGGCAGCTAGATTGGGGGAATGCTTCCCACACCAAGGGCCCCAGCGAAGTGCAGGGACCCCCAGAGAGTCTGGTCAGCCCACCGTTTCCATGAGCTCTGCCCCAAGCAGGGCCGGGCGGCCACCCAGGAAGTGCCTGGAGGACCGGACAGCAGGGTCCAGATGCTCCCACCGAGTTCCACAGTCAGGCAGCGAGAGGGAAAGATGAGGAGATAGGCGGCGAGGATTCCCTCCACCTTCCCAGGCGGCCCTTGGTCGTGGCGCGTGAGTGTCCATTTACTATCAGGCCCCAAACTCTGTGCATGCATAACCTCACATACGTTCTTATGTGTTACACGTCATCATAGAATTTCCATAGAAAAGAACAGTGTTAAATCACCCAAGAGCCGTCTAACACAACGACACTGAACGTAAATGAAGCAGGATCATCTGGTTCAGCCCCGAAGCTTGTCACGAGTCAGATCTTTGTTTCAAAAACTGGGGTCAGTGAGCGGTTTATCACATGCCCCGAACCTGATCAACCCAACCCCGGGAGAGCGGAGAATTCCAAGGTGCACAGCTGCCTCCGCAGAGCTCTTTGTGCTGGGCACATGGGTTTGAATTCTCTGAAATCTTCTCATGCAGAGTGATGTCTGTGACGTGCTGGTACGGAGACCGAGTGGGTGTCCCGCCATCCTGGACTCATCCTCCTGCAGTTGAGTGTGGCCGTGCGGCTCGTTCTGTGGAGCGGGAGTCAGACGTGCCAGGGCCATTGCTCGGGGCCCAGGGCCATCTGTGATGGGCCAGCTGCCTGGGCACTGGGTCCGGGGCCAGGGTCCCGGCTCAGGTGCGATTAGGGTCAAGTTCATGTGGAACTGAGCTCAGGGGCTCAGTCTATGAGGGGGAGGGTCGGTCAGGCGAGGTGAGGCTGTGCCGCTGTGACCAACACCCCCCAAAACTCAGCAGCGGAAGCAACAAACGCGTATTTCTGCTCTGGCTCCATGTCTAATGTGGGTCTGCAGGATGGGCTCCTTGTGGCCACTCAGGGACCCAGGATGAAGAGGCCCCCTTCCTTGGCTGACCCTCAAACTCACAGTCTTGTCGGTCACCACAAGAAGATAAACGGGTTCTGCTTCAGCCCCGAAATGACACAACAAGTGGCTCTGTCTTCAGCCCATTGGCCAGGGCCTCCAGGCAACCGGCCAGCGATGGGGGGGTCTGGTGACAGCCCCACCTCCACCACAGCAGAGCAGCTCTCTGGCTCCTATGGGCAGCATCAGCCAGCCCGGGTGCCAGGAGGAGGCTCAGCCCTTTGCGGCCTGGCAGAGCTCTGCTGGGTGAGGGTCGCACTGGCGGGTCCACCCGTGCAGCCTCCAGATGGGCGGGGTCCCCGCGCTGGAGATCGGGCTGCCCAGGCAGAGCTGGGGCTCTGGCGCCCCCTGGTGGCCATCCTGCGCCATTGCACCTTCTGCCTGCCCCTCCCCCAGCCAGGTGGAGCGCTCAGCCAGGTGAGCTTTGTGGGCAGTCCCATCTGACAGATGTCCCCCTTCTCCTCCCAGCCAGCCCTTGCTCGTGGTCAAGTCCTAAGGTAACGTCACTTGGTGGGGAGGCCTACCCTGACACAGCCCCCGGGGGGCCGGGGGCGGGGGGGGGGGGGGGCGTCCCTCCACATGGCGTCCCCGCCCTGCTCTCTCCCTCTCATCCCACGGACTCTGCTCGCTCACCTGCAGGACACCTGTCTCCTCGCGGGCACAGAGCCTCTCGTCCTAGGAAGCAAAGTCAGCTCAGCCTCTGCGCCCAGAGACCGCCTGGGGTGGGGGGCCCTTCGGTGGGTCCTGCACAGGACTAGGGTGCCTGCCTCCACCGTGCCGCTGACAAACATGGGGCAGGCGATGAGTCCTGGGCTGGCACTCAGGCTCGCACCCCTACGCTGGGTCACGGCCCCGCCTCCCGGGTTTCTCTGCAACAAGCGTGTTCACGCTCTAAGTCGCCCCTGAGTTTTCACCGCGATGTGCACCGACACCAGCCAGCTCAGGAAGCAGGCCTCTCGCGGAGCCAACAGCCGTGAGGTCAGAGGAGGGCACTCCTCAGTCCTCTGCACGGCGGCTGACCGGGTCTGAAGTCCTCCACTTCAGCCTTAGGTCATAAAGAATGAGCACAGCTTCTCGCCCACAGCGGAGGCGGGTCCGTGCGCAGCGGGCGGGGCGGCGGGTTCCCCGACTCCCGGCTCCCCCGGCTGCGCGTTTTCCTTCGCGGCCCAGATGACTGTCAAGTGCACTTTCCTTAGTAAAATCTTGCAGAACTAACATCGTCTAGAGGATCTGGTTTCCCTGCCCAGGCTTGGCCACAGCCGTGTCACACCCTGCCAGGCCGACCATGCGCTTATTGGTCCCCCGCATTTTTCCTTTTCAACTTAGTGAAAGGTTGAGAGTTTGTCCTTTGAGGCTTCCAGTGAAGTATAAAGGTTGAACATTCCGTTTATTAATGTTTCCTGCCTCAACCCCACTGAAATAAGGACACAGACAAGGGCGACACATGCGTCCCCAGCCCCTCCGGCATGGCAGGCCTGTCCGCACTTAGTCCTCCGGGGCCCAGCCCACGGGAGGTAAGGAGAGCTGTCCTGGGCACAGCTGGCAGCGCCAGAGCTGCGACCTGACCCCAGGGTGAGCACTCACCAACACGCTGCGCTATGGAGAGCAGGGGTGGGAGAGGAGGCGGGGCAAACGCAGACTAACACAGTGTTGGAGTCAAAGCTGGACTTTAAGTCAGCCGCCCGGGAGGCACAGGGCACCCACTTTCAGCGCAGCTGCAGAGATTCCGGGCCTGGCGGCAGGAGCACGACAGTGGGCGCCTTGGGCTGAGCACAGAGGGTAGGGCAGGAGAGCAGCGAGGTCGCTGGACACGGCACTGCCCGTGCTGGCACCAGGATGGGATGGCATGTCCCGTGGTAACTGCAAATTCAACTTTAGAAGAAATCGCCAAACTTTCTCAGAGTTGTTTTTGAACTTGGGAAGGGACTTCTGCCCTTCGCCCCTTTGGGCAGAACTGCCACCTTGCTCAGCAGAGCTGGGCCTGGAGCAACAGCCTCGTGAGTACAGGAGACAGTGATGCGATTCACAGTAACTGCCATGAAGTGTCACTTAAAACGGAAGGCAAGAGGAGACGCAGCGGACACGTGAGGACAAAGAGGACTTCCACCCACAGATCCTTCCTGGTTCAGGTGGACGGACTTCAGCTGTGTGTGACCAGAAGGAAAGTCAGTAACACAGCTTCCACAAGGGCGGACTTCACGCTTCCCTTCTGTGGACGAAGTCGGGAGAAGCAGCGCAGGGCGGGTGGGGCAGCTCGAGGGTCCAGCCTCCCGTCCTCAGCATGTAGCCCAGATGGCTCTCGAACCCGCCACCATGCACACATTCCAGCGGGAGGAGGAGGAAGTTTGAAGAAGGACATCTTTGATCCAGCAGCCAAGCCTCAAGCTAAAGTCAGGGTGTTGATCCTAAAGAAGACAGAGTGGCGGCTGGTGGTCCTAGGAGCAGAGCGAAGAATGTTCTTGCACAGGACACCGGGTGGGCCCATGAGGAGGGCAGGGGACGCTGGAGACGCAGTGGGAGCAAAATGCATGCCATACATTCATAAATTTAATCAGGCAATGCACAGTGCAAGAACAATCGAATTTTGCATTTTTAAAGTAAGCCAAAAATCTAAACAACTAGTTGTGGGGAGCAGGGTTCAACAGGAATTAAAGTGGCTAAAACCCTTGAAGTGCCAGGAAGGAGGGTCAAGACTCTGAATATCTGTACACCTGGTTAGAAAAGCTGACAGCTAAGTGTAAAAGTCAAAATTTGATGGTATGTAGCCCGTCCACACACTGGAAAGGTATTCAGCCTTAAAAAAGAAGGAAATCCTGACACGTGCTACAACATGGATGAACCTTGAGGACATTATGCTGAGTCAAATAAGCCAGACACAGAAGGACAAACACTGTGTGATCCACTCATGGCAGGCCCCTAGGATCGTCAGATGCATAGAGACAGAGAGCAGAATGGTGGGGGCCAAGGGCTGGGGGAGGTGGAGGGGGAGTCAGTGTTTAATGGGGACAGAGTTTCAGTTTGAAAAAATGAAAGAGTTCTGGAGATGGACAGTGGGGATGGTCGCACAACGTGAATGCACTTAATGCCACTGAACTGTGCACTTAAAAATGCCTCAATGGGGGCCAGCCCCACGGCTGAGTGGTTAAGTTCACGCACTCCACCTTGGCGGCCCGAGGTTTCACAGGTTCAGATCCTGGAGGCGGACATGGCACCGCTTATCAGGCCATGCTGAAGCAGCGTCCCACATGGCACAACCAGAAGGACCCACAACTAAAATATACAAGTATGTACTGGGGGACTGCGGGGAGAAAGAAAAGAAAAAAAAAAGAAGATTGGCAACAGATGTGAGCTCAAGTGCTAATCTTTTTTTTTTTTTTTAAGATTTTATTTTTTTCCTTTTTCTCCCCAAAGCCCCCTGGTACATAGTTGTATATTCTTCGTTGTGGGTCCTTCTAGTTGTGGCATGTGGGACGCCACCTCAGCGTGGTTTGATGAGCAGTGCCATGTCCGCACCCAGGATTCAAACCAACGAAACACTGGGCCGCCTGCAGCGGAGCATGCGAACTTAACCACTCAGCCACGGGGCCGGCCCCTCAAGTGCTAATCTTCGGAAAAAGAAAAAAAAGAAAAGCCAAAATTGGGGGCCAGCTTGGTGGTGTAGTGGTTAAGTTTACGCACTCTGCTTTGGCAACCTGAGGTTCATGGGTTCAGATCCCAGGCATGAACCTACACACCACGTATCAAACTCTGCTGTGGCAACATCCCACATATAAAAAAGAGGGAGATTGGCACAGATGTTAGCTCAGGGCCAAGCTTCCTCACCAAAAAGAAAAGACTAACATGGTGACAAATAAAAATGGCAAGCAATAGGATATATAGGAATACGAGTAAGCCATTTGGTATAAACCTAATCCGGCCTGACCTCGTCTTTCCAAAAGGGCCTGACCGTGGCTGTTGAGCATGCATTGTATGTCTGCTTTAGATATTCCCTATGGCAAGAGCAAAGGCCCTTGAGATAAAGGTGCAACTTCCCTCCCTCTCCCAAGGTTGGCATCTCCTTAAGGATTAAGCATCTTTCCTTAGGCTAGAAACTGATTGCTGCGCTCACCTGTGACCACCCAGCTCGACAATAGACTTGCCTCCTGCTACACCCATGAAGATGGCAGACCCACTACCTGCTGTGTCCATCGAGCGCTGTGCTGACAGGGCAATCTTGTGACTATTGTGGGAGGGACATTTCAATCATATGTGAAACGTCCTGTATGGGGGTAGATAACCACTCTGTATACCTCACTTCCTTGGTGCTCTTTCTTCCTTTGGGAAGAAAGGCCCCGGGCCATGGTCCTCAGATTTCAGCTCAGAATAAACTCACCCAAATTTTCATTTATAGATTGGTTATGGATTATTTTCGTTGAGAATGGTAAATTTTATGTTATGTATATTTTACCACGATAAAAAAATTAGTGAATAAATTTGCCAGCCTCAAAAATATTCAGTGGCAAATTACAGAAGAATTTTTTTTTAACTCTACTTGCCAAACCAGCAGAGGATAAGAAGTATGATGGAAAACATCACCAAAGCAATAGACGGGAAGGGCAGGGGCAGGGGGTGGGGTAAAGACAAAGATGACAAACACACAAGAAACGAGGTGGTAGAAAGATGTCCAAATGCATCAGAATTCACAATAAATGAATATGGATTAAGCTCTTTTCATACAGAGATTTCCAGGTAGAATTTAAATTACAAAGTGCACGTCTGAAACAAAACCACACAGAGAGCGTCCTGGTCAGTTCAGTTGCTCTAACAAAACACCACAGACGTGGCTTAAACAGCAGACAGTTGTTTCTCATGGCCCTCGAGATGGGAAGTCTGAGATGGGGGGCTGGCAGGGTTTGGTCCTGGGGAGGACCCCCTTCCTGGCTTGCAGATGGCCGCCTTCTCACCGTGGCCTCATGTGGTGGAGAGAGAAAGCTCTCCGGGGTCTCTTCTTATAAGGACACCAATCCCATCACCTGGGCTCCACCCTCACGACTTCATCCAAACCCGGGAGCACCTCCCGGAGCCCCCCTCTGAACACCATCCCACGGGGGTCAGGGCTCCCACACGTGGATTTGGGGACACAGATATTCAGTCCACAGCAGAGAGCTTGAGAATAAAGGATGGGAAACATGCCGTGAAAACACAAACAAAGGCTGCAGCGCAATCCGATTTGGCAGAAGACAGTGTGAGGATGGACAGTGATGCAGAGGGACTCGCAGAAACAAAGGGACCGGGAGACGGAGCCCATCACAAACTCGCCAGAACCAAACCCAGCCTGAGCACGCACAAGGCATGGTGAGGACCCCAAACTTTTAATCTCAGGTCCATGTATGAAGTAAGCCGATCACGGAGACACTGTGCTGGGAGACGGAGAAAGGCTTATTCAAATTGGCCAAAACGAGCATGGGAGGATAGGCTCTCTCAAACCTGCCTTAACACAGAAGCAAGCAAGAAAGCAGGGGGTTTGTAGAGCTAAGGGGCTTGGCAGGAGGAGTTTTGGAGAAACAAGGGGAAATCCGTGTTTCTTTCACCCCAGATAAGCCCTTGGACAATCAGACCTCTGGGCGTCAATGGCAGCTGGGGGCTGGTTATCATAACTTCCTTGAAGGCCTTCTCTTTCTTCTGTAAAACCAGCTCATAAATCCTTGTAACCCTTGAGTCACCCCTCAGGTTAAACAAGAAAACAGGAAATTCACACGATTAACTTCTTTGCGTCTGCGTCTGTGTTGGGAACAAGGTCGAAAGGTAATCTTATTCTTATTGAATATTTACGGTAACACTCAGGTATCTGGCTTCAGCGACAGAAGTACAAGACTCCAACAAACACAAGCGCACGTGAGCTTCCAGCCCAACCACCAGCACCCAGAACTGAGGGATGGTTCAGACAGCAGACGTAGCCGTGACGTTTTCCCAAACCAAACAGCTCTGCTGGCCCCGGGCCTTAGGAAGGTGACGGCCACGAGGGGTGAGAAAGCAAAGTCCCCACCTGGACACAATGCAGGGGATGCGAGAACATCACAAACTCTGCAGAACTGCAGAGAAAAAGCAAAGATCACATACAAAGAATGGAGAGTCGGACTGACATGAAATCATTCAACAGCATCTCCGGACGCAAAGACCCCACGTCAGCAGAGGACGGGGGGTCCGCCGGTGCTCGTGGCTGACGGCGGAGGCTGCCCCATGCGGCCCTTCCAGAAAGCCATTTGGCACCACCTGGTGAAGGTTGCCATCCCCTCACCTGTGTCCTGGCAGTTTCACTCCCAAGAAAACACTTGCTCACCTACGAGAGACGTGTACAAGAATAGCCAGGGCAGCATCGCTCATGTTGGCAAAAATCTGGAAAACATCCAAATATCCACTGATGGGAGCAGGGTGGACCCGTGTGGAGTATTCACACAATGGGCACTCAGAATGAATTACCCAAGACACACGGCAACACAGGTGAGTCTCAGTAAAACAGAGAGTGAAAAGATAAGTCACAGAAGAATATATATAGCACGATACCCTCTCCATAAAGTAAAAAACTAAAACCAAAAGTATACATGTCAGGAAGACACATAGATACAATAACTCTGTACACAAAGGAAGGTAAGGAACGGTGGTCCCTGGACTCGGGTGAAGCAGTGTCAGGTGGATGAGGCAGGGACAGGCTGGGGACGCCTGGGTGACATGTAGTCAGTGTCAAGATTCTAGCTTTTGTTTTGGGTGGTAGGTTTGCGGGTGCCAATATTTAAAATAACAAAAGAATGAACTGCTGTGTAGATAAACACACACCCAGCATGGGCCATCGAAGAGAGCACACCACAGGGACCCGCCCCGTGGCCCAGTGGTTGAGTTCAACTCCCTCTGTTTCAGCGGCCTGGATTCCGTTCCCCTCCACGGACCCACACCAGTCGTCAGTGGCCACGCTGTGGCGCCGTCCCACATACAAAATAGAGGAAGATTGGCACGGATGTTAGCTCAGGGTGAATCTCCCTCAGAAAAATTTTTAAAAGGAGTGCATTGCAAACAGAGGCAGATGATCCATCCCTTCAATTCTTTCCACTTGAGGTCTGTTTAAAGAAAAGGAGACCGTGGCCAGAACACACACAGGATTCCTCCAAATCAATAAAAAACAAGCTAATAGAGAGACTTGTGGTGGTGGCCACTTTGCAGCGTATACAGGTGTCAAATTATAATCCTGTACACTTGAAACTTACATTTTTTTTCAAAAGAGGAAAATGAGTGTCTCTTTTTGTATACCCATAGACACCCATCCCATTGGCTCTGTCTCTCTGGAGACCCCTGGCTGATACACCGCCTCCAGACCTCTGCGCCCACCTCGGCTCCCTGCTGCAGGGCTGCCTCCAGCTGCCCCCCTAGGGGGAATCGCTCTGCCTCCAGGGCCCCGGCTGTCCACACGTCTGAGCCCCCACCCCCAGGCTGAGCCCCTCGGGGACAGCACCCAACCTGAGATCCTCTGAGAGTTTTTTTTGATTAGTCTTTCTCTGGTTAAATGTCATTACCTTGGTTTTACCACAGATTAAGCCACTTGCTTCAGCCACGTGGCAGTGTGACTTTGCAGCATCCTTTCCCCCTTCAGCTTGGGGACCATCAGCAGAAGGGACTCCCCAAGAGCAGAAGAAATGGCAGCCATCCCACCCTTGGCAGTAAGGATGACTTTCCTCTGGTTATCAATTAGTGGATGTCCATTACCTTGCTGGACAAAATGGATCTGACAATGTGAAGTTTTAGATGTCACTTAAGATAAGTGTGTTCAATTTTGCTAAATTGGGTTTTTATTATTATGAGGCTATTTTGCTCCAGAAAATGTGAATGTGCTTTGGAACGGCAGATGAAGGGTCAGAAGTTCAAGGTCCTTTCATCTTTCCGAGTGACTGCACTGTGTCTGTGGTATGAGGAGACTGACTGGTGTTCCCCACAGGAAGGTGAAGGTCGGTCTGATCCCACTGGTCCAGAAGGGGACATGGAGGTCCCTCACGCCCCAGGGATGGAGGGTGGGCGGGACTTCGGCCAGGGCTGGCCCCAGGCTGCGGGACACCACAGAACTTCCCAAGGTCTCAGGAGTGGCTTGAGTCTTGCTGTTGGGACCTCCTAAGAAGGGAAGTGACTGGCATGCTGACACAGACCTGGAGAGTGGGTTGCCTTTGTGTGGGTTTAATTGCACGTTTCTTTTTGGGGAGAACTTAAATATGTGCTGGCATTATACAGAAAATCTTAGCAATGGGACTGACGACAATTATGGTTTTTGTCTGGTCAGAGCCAGTGTGGGAGCTCACAGCTCCTGCAGGTGAACGGGGCCCATGCTGCAGTTTTCTGATGCCACAGCGGAGCCTCCCAGGTAACGTCAGAGGGAGGGTGAGCCCCATCAGCTGTGTGCCACACCCACCCGGCCCTCCCCATCTCCCCCAGGGGACTGGAGGCAGAGGAACCAACACAAGCATGCGGGTGCTCCTGCTGCGCCGTAGGTAATGAAGTCCTTTGTCTCAGATCCAGGAGTCTCGTGTCTTCCGCCAGCATCCAGGAAACAGCCAACCCCAGGCCCAGCCAATCACGGTAGCCCACTCCCCATGGCCAGCCATGGGTACAGGGGCTGTCATGGGAGCCAGATCTGGACCATGGGACCTGACAGGACTCATGCTGGGGACTTCTGAGAAGGATTTTCCCACCAACAGGAGGGAGACACCCAAGGAGGGACCTCTGCCTTCTCCTTCCTGCGCTTGAGTGCTGTTTTTGAGATGACGCGAAGCTCGGTGCTATTGTGGCCCCTTGGGACGACCCAGAGAGACATCGCCAACCCTTCAAGACGGGAAATAAAAGTGGACAGAGCCTGTGTGACGTGGCCAAGCTGCTGAAGCCACCCTGGGAGGGCCTGCCTCAAATACTGAAGCCCGCCAGGCCACAGTCTGATCCTCCCCACCTAGAAACAAGCTAACTCCCAGCTCTCTGGAGGAGGCTGCCAGGCTGGGACTCTTGGAACAGGATAGGCGGTGCCTGGTTCCCCAGGTGATGGTGGAGCTGGGGCCCAGCATGCCACAGTGAGCAGCGAGGCTGGTGCCTGGACCGCTCACAGTGAGCAGCGAGGCCTGGCGCCTGGACCGCCCTGCGTCCGGGCATGAGACACACACAGGGGACTCAGGTTAGCATCTCAGATCCGGTGGGGCGAGCTCCCTGGGCTTCTGGAAATGAGGTTCTCTTTGGCCAGGACGGCTCAGGTTGGGAGAAGGGCACGTCCCACTCTGGGGCATCGGCACGGATCACCATCCATGACAGCTGTTACCATATCCGGGTTTTCCCCTCCACCCTTGATTGACTCTCTTGTCCAGAGGTCTGAGGAGAGGAGGCCTGAGAAGGCGGCATCTGACTGTGCCTGGGAGGAGGGGCTGCAGGGCAGAAAGGCCCCTGGAGATGGCAGAAGTGAGGGAGACCCTCGGGAGGGGCGTAGTGCTGGGAAACACCCCTTGTCAGGACCTTGACCCACGCTGCCCAGTTCCTCTTCCACCACCGCCCTCCAGCCACCACATCTTCACTCTCCTTCCCGCTGACTCATGAACGCCCTCAAGTGGAGTGTCCACCCCGCAGTGTACGGACACTGTTCTGTGAAGTCACCAGCAGCCTCCTGCTTGACCTGACGGGCGTCTGTCCACCCCACGCTGAGCACCCGCCCCCTCCCACTTAGCCGTCCACCCCCCTTCCTGTGAGCTGCCACTCCAGCCACCCACGGCCCTTCCAGCTTCCTTTGCTGCTTCAGCACCAACCCCATCATGCTGCTTCCCACTTAGAACAGGGTTGGTGGGGGTCCAGCTGCTCTTGGAGCCCAAACCCAAGCCACTGCCCCGCCTGGCCTGCCGGCCCGGCGCCCACCATACTTCCAGGCCCCAACTCCCCCAGGCCTCCCTCTCCCAACCCCAGGCATTGGCTCCAACTGCCCACCTGAAGATGGTCTCCATGGTCCTCCCGCAGGAACCCCCCCTGCCAGTGCCCCCCAGTCTGGCCGCCCCACTGTCCCCCTCCCACGTGCACAGGGACGGCCTCTGCCTGGGCTCAGCCTCAGGGCCCACGTGGGGCAGGTGCGCAGCCGAGAGTCCCTCAGGGCCTGTGAGCCGATGCCAGAGGTAATGAAGGACAAGGGGACCAGCTGGCTTCCCTGTCACCTCTGGCCACCACAGGCCACCGCAGGAAGCCAGTGAAGGGCAGGGTGGAAGGTGATCAGGTCCCCACTCCATTCCCAAGGCAGCCTCCAGAGGGCAGACACCTTGGGCCACAAGGTCGACCAAGGTCCAGTTTCCCAGCCCTGCAGAGGCCCGAGCGGTGCTCCAGGTCACAGCAACAGTGGGCCAGCCGCGGGCCGCACGGGAGCAGGGGGCCCCTGTATCCTCAACGTCTGTTCAGATGCCCTCAGAGACACAGCGGGAGGGGCACATGGGCCATTAAACCACGTCAAGACAGGGAGGGCCAGGCTCTCTGGCGTGGGAGGCCGGGGCAGGCTGGTGGAGGCAGAGGGGGGAGGCCATGACCAGCGCTGAGGGTGGCTCGGAGTCTGGGGTGTACCCAGGGCTCTGTGAGCCCCGAGGTCCTCTTCTCTGACCAAGCCAAGCTCAGGGACACCAGTTCCTAACTCTGACATTGGGAGATGGGGCCTCAGGGCAAAGCTGACCCCTCAAGGGCGAGCAAGGGGGTCCTCTGGGAAGAGGCCAGGAGGGGAAGCGTCTTAACAGGCCGTCAGGAGCTGAGGCAGGACAGAGCCCCTCTGACCCCACTCTCCCAGCCGTCCATCTCCAGGGACATGCCCAGAGGGACCAGGCAGGGACAGCACAGCTGCCCGGGCCTTGGGGCGGGGGTGGGGGATACAGGCTTCCCACAGGCCTCACTCACCGTCCCCTCCCCAGACCACAGCCTCCCCAGACCGTGCCCACTCCCCACCCCTGGCTGCAGACCCTCGGAGCCCCTCGGAGCCCCTCCCACTCGCCACCTGTGCAGCCTTTCCCAGCTGCTCCCTGTCCCCCTGCCCCTGCCCTCCCGCCTCCACTTGCCAGGGGCTGCACCCAGGGGCGTCTGCCTGCTCCCCTCACGGGCTCCCCGCTGCCCACAGAGGGGCCACTGAGAACAAGGAGGGTGGGTGGGGCTGGGGGCAGCTCAGAGCTGTGGGGTCGGTAGGAAGGGGGCTTAGGGAGGACCCCCTGGGCGCTGCCATCTCCCGCCCTTCTGGGAGCTGCTGGTTATGGGCACATGGGTCGGGCGGCAGGGAGGGCAGGCCTTGCCATCCGGAAGCGCACGTGAATGCGGGGAGCACGAGCTGGCACGCCCCGGGGCTCCACAACGCCACGCGTGCCACCTGAGGAATGTGTGTAAGCACCACCCAATCGTCGTGCAAGGCGTCCTCAGCCACGTCAACAGCCTCATAACGCGGGGGCAAAGGCTCCCTCTCCGATGCTACAGACACGTCCTGGGCCGGGTGGGTGGCCAGGCTCACATCACAAGTGCAGGGGCCCAGGCGGGAGACCACCCGCAGATGGACTTCAGTGTCATGTGCTCTCTGCCACAGACCAGCCGGCCGAAGGTGTCCACTCTGCCCACCAGGGCTCCGCGGGTGTTGGGCCAGGCTCCATGCTCCTGGCCTAGACTGCAGCGTCTGCCGCTTAGCAAAGCCAGGGCCTAATCCCACCTGGCTTCTGGGTGTCCTGAGCTGTGGGAGCCCTGGGCACCGGAGGAGAGAACCAGGGGCTCGGGGGCACTTCTGGGTGTGAAGTGTGGGGTCAGGGACATGGGACCAGCACCCGTGGGTAGGGATAGGGTTAAGGTACTCTAGGAAGAGCAGAGTCAGAATTATGGGATCTCTGGAGGCGGGGACAGTGGCGTTGGAGGGGCAATGTCTCTGGGACAGGGCAGCAATGGTCCCCCACCCAGGAGCTCCCCAGAGGCGGAGGCCGGGGTGGACTAGCCCAGCCCCCCTGCCTCACTCACTCACACCCGCCCTCCCGCCTCCTTCTCCCTCGCTGTCAGAATAGACGCATCAAACAGGCAGAGCAGTGTGACTTTGGGTACAAAACTGTAAACACGAGTCTTTAAAATGAGAGGCCTCCTTGGCCCCAGACTCTGAGCCAGAGGCCCCCACCAAGGGACCCCAAGGGACCAGACCTCCGCCCACTCTGGCCTCCCTTCACACCCAGGCCCCCAGAAGGCAGGGACGGGGCCCCTTCGGCTCCGGCCCAGGCCGCACACAGTGGCCCACGCGCTGGGGTGGGCTGGCCAAGCGGGAGCTGAGGGTCCGTGGTCTGAGGGATCCCTGAGATGAAAAGCGGCCGCGGGCCCCGGCACAGGTGCTCACCGCACCTGGCCCCGTGGGGAGCCCGCCCCCACCCCATCCCAAGCAAAACGAGCGCCCCTCCGGCCCCCGCGTCCCCGCGCCCCGGTGGGGGGGGGGCCTCCCCGGGGGCAGCGCGGACCCTGTCACGTGTCCAGGGCTTCGCGCGTGGGCGAGGGCCCGTGGGGGCGGCCCGGCGGGCCGTGCAGCGGCGGGGGTGGCGGCACCGAGTTGCGCTGGGGGTGCGGCGGCTGCAGCTCCAGCGAGAGGGCGGGTGGCGGGAAGTCGCGCACCTGGCGGCGGTACTCCAGGAAGGTACAGGCCTTGGTGGCGAGCGCCACCACGTTCTTGCCGACGAAGATGGCCGAGACGCGGCTGTCGCGGAAGAGCGCCATGTTGGCGGCGCGCGCCAGCACGGCCACCACGTTGACGGTGGCGAGGCTGAGCACCGGGTACAGCATCATCTTCTGCGGCGCGATGTGCTCGCCCTGCATGCTGACCTCACTGAGCGCCACGCACGGCAGCACCAGCAGCAGCATGTAGCAGTAGAAGAAGGTGAGGCCCTCGGCCCACAGCGGCAGCCCGGTGCGCGGCGGCTCCCACAGGTTGGCCTGCATGTCCAGCAGGTCCAGCAGGTCCAGCGCCACCCAGAAGAGGCGGCCGCGCAGGTCCTCGCGCTTGCGGAAGGTGCGTACGTACTCCATGCGGTCGAGCGCCACCAGCAGCAGGAAGAGGCCGGGCACGCACACCGACAGCAGCAGCGTCAGCGCCTTGCGCGCCACCGGGTCGGCCGCGCCGCGCCGCGCCGCCTTGTAGTTCTGGAAGATGAAGTAGAGCTTGATCTCCAGCACGAAGATGTAGAGGAACCACAGGATCATGGCGTAGCCGCGCTTGGCCGTGCGCACCTCGGCGCCCACCCACACGGCCACGTAGCGCAGCACCAGCAGGAAGCACACGTCTCCCACCAGCACGATGATGCACACGCCGATCTTGCGCGGGCCCTGATTCTGCTCCACCAGGTACGCGTCCATGACGGCCATGCTGCCCATGATCACCAGCGTGGTCAGGCACACGTGGCGCCGGTCCGGGGGCGGCAGCACCATGGTGGGCCGCCGGGGCCCCGGCCTGGGCGCGCGCGGCCCCCACGCGAGGCGGGACGAGGCCCTGCGGCGGCGGCACTCAGCCCGTGGGCATGGCGCAGCGCTGGGCCTGTCCAGCTGCCTCGAGGGCACCACCGCTCCCAGCCGGCGAGTTCAGGAACCTGGGGAGACCAGAGGAGGCACAGTGAGGGTGTGGCCCGGGGGCGGCTCCCATGACCCCCGCGATGTGCTTCCTGAGCGAGGCGCTGTCCCCGCGCGCGGGGCGCGAGGCCTCTGTCGCACGCACGCGCCCATGCGCGCCCCGGGGGATCGGGAGTCGGGAGCGGGGCCTCCAGGGGGCGCTGCAGCCTCACCTGAGACGCGAGACCTCATTCCCGCCACCGCCAGGAAGGAAATGGAACGGAAGTGGTTTCTCCCCGCCGCGCGCGTCCCCGGGCCCCCAGTGGTTTGTCCCTCTGAGCCCACGCCGCCGTCCCTCCGGCTCTGACGGCCGGGCCACACGCCCGGGCTGCTGGCCTGAGGCCGTTCCCGCGGCGGCTCGGGCATCCTCTCTCCCCCAGGGCCTCACTCGGGGGCGGAGAGGCGGCCCGCGCCCTCCACTCTGCGCGCTCAGGGAGTGCCGGCGGCCCGCGGATGCCCAGGCCCCATCCCGGGAGCCGGGGCTCTGGGCGGGTTTTCTGATCCAGGACTGAGTGTCATGCAAGTCCTGAGTATTCCATCCCACAAGCCCCTCCATGCCTCCCACCCCTGCCTTGCAACCCCACCAGCCCTCCTCCCTGCGGACTCAGTGTCTCCTCTGGTCCACCCTCCACAGGCTGTGTGGACCATTCTCTGCCCTACTCCCACCCTGGCTCCCCATTGCCTTCGGAAGCTCCAGTCCTGGCTTCAGCGCCTGCCGTGTACACTCCCCCCCACCTGTTCTGCTCACTGTGAGGGGTGGTTCCCCTGCCGCTCCCTCCCTCCCTTGCACCTTAAGGGCGATCTCAGGAAGCCCGCCCTCCTCTGTTACGAGTACCTGGGTCCCCTTTGGGCCCCGCACTCCCCTGGACCTCTCTCATGCCCCTGGCACTGGTTGTCATGGCTGTGCTGGTTGGAGTCCCACACCAGACTGCGGGCCTCCACACCCTGGTTCACACTGGGGCACGATGGAGGCCCGCACGCCCTCACCCACCTGAAAGTCACTCGCGTTTCACTCCCGGCCAGTCCCCCGCCCCGCCCCCCATCACCCCGGGCCCCGGGCTCTGTTTACTGCCCTGTCTAGACAAGGACATAAAATTTAATGTCACCCGTGACCATGGAGTGAGTGCTCAGCCTGCCCCTGGTGACACCGCAGGCCCCACTGACCCAGGAAGGAGCCCTCCTCCAAATCCGCGCCCCCAGCCCTGCCCTCATCCCACTTGCTGCCCCACCCAGCACCCGCCTCCCAGGGGTCCCCGCAGTCACACACAGGACCCCCGACCTCCCTGAGCTGGGACACCTCCGGGAGACCGTGCGTGGGGGGTCATGGCCTATGCCCCTGCCTCCACCCACACTCACCGTTCTCACCCCCAATGGGTGGACAGGCTTCACCCAGTTAGACCCCCCACAATCCAGGCCTCCCGTGGCTGCGGCGGTGGCCTGGGAATTTCCTTCCTCCCGGCCCGTTGGCCAGGCCAAATAGCCAAATAGCCGCCGCATCGATAACCCTTTCCTCCCCATCCACTCCACGGCGCTCTCGCTCCCTCAGTCACTCATCAAACCTGGGCTGAGGGCTGGGGGTGCTGGGACAGACCCCATCCCGACGGAGCTCAGAGAGGGAGCCTCAGCCCCTGCCCCAGAAAGCCAGAGCCAGTGCCTGACCACCCCTCCCCCACATGCTAGCCAGGCCTCTCCCTCGGACTGGCCCCAGGCCCTCCTGCCCTGGCTGTCCTGCGCCGGTCCTGGTGCCCCCCACAGTCCCACTGCCCGGACCTCACAGACACTAGAGCCTCCAGGCCCCTCGCTGCCCGCCCCCTCTCCGGTGCCTCGCATGGGCCCCCACCCTAGAACTACCCCTCAGTGCCTAGAGAGGAGGGGCAGGGAGAGAGAAAGGGGCCGCACCCCCCAACCCCACCGAACAGAGGACGGTGCAGGGGTTGGGCCGCTCCCAGCAGCTGCGTCTCTGCTCCTCCGCCCCCACCGCCGGCTCCCGGCGGCCTGGTTCAGTCGCCCTACCGGCCCAGGCCTCCCCCCTGCAGCGCCGCCCCCGCACCCCACTGCCCCTGCGCCCGAGGAGATGGGGGTCGCCCGAGCCAGGCCTCCCGCTCCGCCCCGCCCGGCCCAGCCCGGCCCAGCCCGGCCCAGCCCGCGCCTACCCGCCGCCGGCCAGATGCTGCGCCGCGCCCGGCCGGCCCGCCGAGCCTATGCTCCCGGCCGAGGCCGCGCTCCGCTCCGCTCCGCCTCCCCTCCGCGCGCCCCCCGCCCGCCCGCGGCCCCGCCCCCCGCCCCACGCTCCCCGCCGCCCGCGGGCTGGGGGTCCCGGCGCCCCCGCCCTCGGCAGCGCCGGTTGCCACGGCGACAGTGCTGCGCGGGAGCAGCGCCCGGGACCCGCGGCACTGGGCAGCCGGATGCCCCCAGGGTCCACGCGCAGACCCCCGGGACGTCTCCTCTGCGCCCCTCCTCACCCCACAGCCGGAGAATCGCGCGCGGGCGCCTCAGTCCCGCTGACGCCCTGGAATTCTGCTGTGGCCCCCACCCAGGCCGCCCACCAGGGTGACCCCACTTTCCCGCGACAGGCAGCCTGCGAGACCGCTGGCTCTCTGCAGGTGACCCACGGGACTGGGGCGTGGCCCATGGGAACAGAACCAGGAGCGCGGTGCGGGCCTCGGTGCCGCGTCCCAGCGAGGACCCTGGGTCCTGGATGTCCGCAGCCTTCTGGGCTGTTTTCTGACGGGGACAGGAGCAGTAGGCGGCCCGGTCCTCTCCTCCACCCGTCCAGGGGGCACGCTAAGATCTGGAGATTCAGTCCCCACCCCCACCCTGTCCTCCCTGAGCCTGCCACTTACATCCCAGCCTTTCCACCCGTAAGACAGAGGAGGGGAGCGCACCTACTGCCTGCCTGCTTCGTCCCCAAAGCTGCTCCCACTTATCTCTAACAGAGGAAGAGACCCACGGTCAGAGAGGTGAAGGGACACCCAGAATCCCACTTGCACCCAGGTCTACTTACCCTGAGGTCCTGAGCAGGTGCCTGGGTCCACACAGGTGGCTGAGTCTGCAGGTGCTCGCATCCTGGGTCTGTGCAGGTGGCCAGGTTGTGCAGGTGTCCCCATCTGCCACCCTCCCACAATGCTGAGGGCTGGGGGGCACTGGGACAAATGGGAAGGGGGGTAGCAGGCCACCCTGGGCCCTCCATGAGAGGCTTATGAGATGAGCACTGAGGTGCTCACTGGGATGGGCCTTCAGGATGGCTAGCTGGGGGTACCAGCCCCTGCACCCACTCACACAGTTGCTCTCACTCGAAGTGGAGTCAGGGACCCGGACTGCCTCTGTGCCCAGGGAGGGCCCCAGATCCCACAGGGACGGCTCACCTCCCCCAGGGAGGCCTCCAGACTTCCCTCTGCCTGGAGAGACAAAGGGCCTAGGTGGAAAGGCCACTCCATGCAGCATGGATGGGGGAGGAGGCGGCCCAGGGCAACACCAGCGACCCCCCTGGCAGGCCACCCTGCAGGCCCAGGAGTCAGAGGGGGGCAGGCTGGGATGAAGAGGGCCAGAAGTACCAGCAGGGTCCCCGAGCCCACACTACCGCTTTGTGTGGCCTGCTCCCTCCCTCCTGCCCTCCACCAGGTGGGGCTACCCCAGGCCACCCTGCTCAACCCTGCAGCCTCTCTCCCTCTGGCCTCCCCACCTCACCCAAGGGCATGCTCCAAAAGCCCAGGCTTTAACCCGAACCCTGCAGGCCTGCACCGTGTCCTGTGCACCACACGCCCCCTCCGCAGCATCCATTCTTGCCTCCCAGGCAGAACCCCGAGCCTATCTCTGCCCAGTACTCACCCCCGACCCTCTCCTGGCCCTCCTTCTCTTTGTGTCTCCACTTCCTCAGGGCAGGGGTGTGCCGGGCCGAGGGCCAGGCCCGGAGCTGCTGGGACACAGCTGTGCTCCCTGGGGAGGCTCCAGGGGAGAGTCCACTCCTCGCCTCTTTCACCTTCTAGTGGCTGCCAGCCCTCCTTGCCTGGGCTTGTGGACGCACCACTCCCACCTGCCTCTGACATCGTGTGGCCTCCCCCTGTGTGCGTCTCTCCTCTTGTCATAGAGACATCAGTCACTGGAAGGCTCACCCTGGAGACCTCATCTCAACTCGAGGACATCTGCAAAGACCCTGTTTCCAAATAAGGTCACATTCAGAGGTGCTGGGGGTTAGGACTCGAATTATCTTTTAGGGGACACTAGTCAACCCGTAACTCACCTTCCCAGCTTGCCAGTCTGACTGTGTGTCCCTGGTCACTGCCATGCCTCTCCATGGCCTTGACAAGGGACCAAGCTCCTACACCTGGCTATAAAGCCCCCCCCCAGGCATGTCCCTGCCAGCCTCCCCCCCACCCCCAGCCATTCTTTTAAGAAGCCCCTCACGGCCTAGCCAGGCCTCACTTCTCCACCGGGCATGCTGTCCTGGCAGCTCCCCTGGCTGGAACAGCACTGCCCTGGCTTTGGGTGGCAGGCCCAGCCCCACGCACCTCCCTCCAGGCCAGGCCTCCATCCGGCTACCACCTCCATTCTGGGGTCTGGCCACTTGCCTTGGCCACAGCCCCTCCCCACTGGCCATCACTCCATGTGGTCACTAGGGTGGGCTCTGTGCCCCTGGCCTGCCTGGAGGGCTGATGGAGCAGAGCTAAATCCACAGAGAGGTCGTGGGGAGTCACATAGATGCCTGGGTCCCGTGGGAAGAGAGTGACTCTGCATCTGCTGGGGTAAGAACCCTGACAGCTGCTGTGCTAGGTGTGCTGTGTGCTGGTAATTGAGCGCTTGGAGGGCTGGGGGTGAGGGCAGCCAGGCTGGGCCGGCGCAGGGTCACGGCCCAGGGAGGGGTGGCCAGCCGTTTCAGGTTCTGAACTTGGTTTCAGGTGACGCGGGACAGGCTGTGCCTCCGGTGCCCGGCGGCGGAAGCACAGGCAGGGCTGCAGGGAGGGAAGTGTCCCCACTGCAAGCCTCAGATTATTCCTCGAGTAATTTTTCAAACACAATTTTCAAACTAGTCTGCCCCGCAAACTAGACTCCAGGAGCAGCCAGCAGAAACACAGAGTGACCCCAACAGAGGTGAACCCCAAAGACCTCAGAGACTAGAGAGCTCAGAGGCAGCCTGAAAACATCCGTGCTTACTGTGGTCCAAGACAGGGCCCTGGAAACCATGAAGGTGACAGGGCAGATTGAAAAAGAGAACCAAACGGAAACTCTAGCACTAAAAACACAATAGCTGAAACTAAGGACTCAGGGGAAACGTCGAGAGCAGATTGGATGCGACTGAAAAGAGGATCCAAGAGCTGGAGGAGAGGGTAGAAGAAAGCATGCAGACTGAAGCACAGAGACGGAAAGACGAGAACCGCAGCCGGAGAGACACACAGGGTGTGGCGACCAGCTCTCCTCAGGTGTGATGAGGCTCCCACACGGGCCTGACCAGGACACGCAATACTCAGGGAAGATGGCTGGGGGGTGTCTGTACCTGTTGAAAGATACAAACCACAAATCTGAGCAGCCCGACCAACCAGAGCGTCACTAAAAAACCCACAACTCACACATCACATAAAACTGGTAAAAACTGGACACAAGGAGGAATCTTAAAAGCAGTCAGATATAAAAAAGTCAGATGACCTTAAAAGGAAAGAGCGTCATCTGACCTCTGACTTCTCAGCTGCAACAGCAGAAACCTCATGACAATGGGATGACGTCTTTAATCTGCTGGAAGGAAGTAATTGCTGTGGTTGGCAGAGTAATGACCCCAGAGATGTCCCCATCCTCATCCCCCACATCCATGAGCAGGTTCCCTTGCAGGGCGAACGGGACTCTGCAGATGTGATTGAGCAAGGACCTGGGGCTGGGGCTTTGTCAAGGCGGGCCCAGCATGATGGAAAGTGTCCTCCTAGGAGGGAGGCAGGGGTGTGGGAGAGAGCGATATGAAGGGGCTACACTGCTGGATTTGAAGAGGGAGGAAGGGCCGGGAGCCAGGGAGTTCAGGTGCCTCTAGAAACTGGAAAAGGCAAGAAAACGGATTCCCCCCAGAAGCCTGCAGGAGGAGCCAGCCTTGATCTCGGCCCGCTGAGCCTGCCCACCTGCAGCCCTGTAAGGGAGTAAACCTGTGTTGCTTTAGGTGTGTGACAATTCGTTGCAGCAGCAGTAGGAAACTAATACAGTTGCTGACCTAAAGTGGTTCTTTACTGGAACAAAAACTGAGAAGATTTGTTGTAGCAGGGCTGCAGCAAAAATGGTATAAAGATGCACTTCAGGCAAAGAAAATGATCCCAGCTAGAAGGTCAAGGAGGCAAGAGGGAAAGATGGGCAAAGAAAGCAGCAAATACATGGGGAAATCTCAGTGAACATGGACCACGTATGTAATCATGATAAAAATGTTTAGAAATAATAACATTCCAGAAAACGTGAAATTACAAACCAACAAGGGCATGTAAAGCAGGAGGGAGACAGAGAGGCAGGTGGGACTGACTCTGCAGAGTTTAGGATGCACCCCGGGGACGGCCAGCTGAAGCGCTGAGGAATAGAAACAGAAGGTGTAACTTACGACCATGTGGAAAGAAACCAATGGAAGCTTTTTTTAAAATAATCAACCCGAAAGACAAAAAAAGAGAGAGAAATAGAGCAGCTGTAGAAATTAGAGAACCTGAAAGGATGGCAGATCTGAACACTAACATGTCAGTAATTACATTAGCTGTAGACGGACTAAACGTTCCCATGGAAACACCAAGATGATGTCTGAGCTTTTACAAAAAGTCGAAAGTGATACTGTTTACAGGGGTGCATATAAATGATGAGGACAGGAAAATATATATCATGCAAATATGCACCAAAAGCAAGATGGTGTCAACCGTCACCACAGCCTGTCGGGCGTGATGGCTGCCTGCTCACGGAGGAGACTGCTCCTATTCTTGAGCGTACGTGACAGAGTGTTCAGGGTGGACTGTCATGTGCCTGGGGTTCACTTTCAAATGGTCCAGAATGGGGGCCGGCCCGGTGGTGCAGCGGTTAAGTTCGCACGTTCCGCTTCTCGGCGGCCCGGGGTTCGCTGGTTCGGATCCCGGGTGCGGACATGGCACTGCTTGGCAGCCATGCTGTGGTAGGCGTCCCACGTATAAACTAGAGGAAGATGGGCACGGATGTTAGCTCAGAGCCAGGCTTCCTCAGCAAAAAGAGGAGGACTGGCAGTAGTTAGCTGAGGGCTAATCTTCCTCCAAAAAAAAAAAAAAACAAAAAAAAACAAATAGTCCAGAATGAAATGTATATGTGTACACACATCAATAAAGATAAATCAAATGTGGCGACAGTAAGAGTTGCTGAATCAAGACCAAAGGTTTCTGTTTGTTCGTTGTATTGTTCTTTTACATCTTCTGGGTTCCCATTTTGGGTGAGATGAAGTAAACACAGTCGGCCCTGCCCTTCCCACTGGATGCAGCTATAAACAGAAGCCGATGCAGGAAGCATTGAGGACTCTGCAAAGTAAACAGCAACCGGCACACTGGGGGGAAAGCCAGAATTCGAAGCACCACCACCCTAGTGGTGAGTTTCAGGATCCAAATCTCCCGCCTGGACTCAGCCTGGCCTGAAAATCAGAAATGGGGACGGGGCGTGGATAGAGAGAGCCCCAGGAGAGGCCTCTAGTTCTGGATCAGGGAGCAGGAAAGATGGCAGCGTCTCAGTGCTCGCAGAGATGTGGAGAACGCGGGTGGGGGGTGGTTGAGTTGGTTGGTTTGGGTGGTGGTGGTTTTCCTCTTCTCCCTTCTCTCACCCCGGCCCCTAGGCAACGCCCCCCGGCGGCAGCAAGGCAGCAGGGTTCACAAGCGGCTTTGCAAGCGAAGACCTTCCTCTCCAGTTGGAGGAGATGTGGTCCCCAGAGGGTGCGACCCTCTTGCTTGGCGGGGGGTGGGGGGCGAGGAGCCAGGCCCTGCTCTCTCTGTCTCAAGATGCAGGCGCAGTCACGAGAAGTATGCAGGGGAGTCGGGTCACTAAAGCCCCAGACTTCTGCCAGAGGCCTGAAAAGGGAGCCAGAAAGTCCCAGAGAGCTTGTGCAGAAGGAAGAGCTCCAGAAAGCAGCCCCAGAAAGTTGTTCATGACTTCTGGGCTCAACCCCAAGCTGTGCGTGCGCGAGTCTGATCCTAATTAGCATATCAAGTCTGAGAACTGAACTACAGGACAGACCACTGCCTGAGTCCACACTGGCCACTGGGTAGTGCTCACACAGGATGGGTTCAATAACACTGAAAAGCCTTTGAAAACAGAACTGACCTTGAAACCACAACCCACAGAAGGCTATTTGGAATTTGCAGCCTGCATCCAACTGGGCTGGTTGCCTGCTAAAACAAAAATATCAACATTCTCAGTGAGATTTAAACAAGACCAGATATTCATAACATAATGGTCGAATGTGCAGGATACAACCCAAAATTACTCTGCATATGAAGAACCAGGAAAATCCAACCCACAAGGGCAAAGAAAATCAAGAGCCACCAATGCCAATATGACCCAAAGACCAACAAAATATTAGCAAATGGAATCAAGAAACATAAGAAAAACAAAATAAACTAGTCCCACAACCACTCAGAGGGATCCCAGGAATGCAAGACTGGTTCAATACGTGAAAATAAATCAGTGTGATCCCCCATATTAACACTCCAAAGAGGAAACCACGTGGTCCCATGAACTGATGCAGAGAAAGCACTTGACAGAATTTGACATCCATCTGTGGTAAACACTCTCAGCAAACTAGAAATAGAAGAAAATTTACTTAACTTAATAAAGGGCGTCTACGGGGCCAGCCTCGTGGCTGAGTGGTTAAGTTTGAGCCCTCTGCTTTGGTGGCCCAACATTTTGCCAGTTCGAATCCTGGACGAAGAGATGGCACTGCTATCAGGGCACGCTGAGGCAGCATCCCACATGCCACAACTAGAAGGACCCACAACTAAATATACAACTATGTACCGGGGGGCTTTGGAGAAAAAGGAAAAATAAAATCTTTTAAAAAAATAAAATAAAATAAAGGGCATCTAAAAAGGTAACAAAAAAACTACAGCTAACATGACACTTAATACTGAGGGACTGAATGCTTTGCCCTAAGATCGGAACAAGGCAAAGATGTCGACTCTATTCACTACTATTCAATATTGTACTAGTGGTCCTAGCCAATGCAATAACATAAGAAAAGTAAATAAAGACACACAGATTAGAAAGGAAGAAATAAGACTGTCTCTGTTCATAGATGACATGAAAGTCTATGTAGAAAAATCCCAAAAGTTCTACCAAAAAAAAGTCTGAGTACTAATAAGTGAGCTGAGCAAGGTTGCAGGATATA